ATGAAAATAAAATAACTCCAGTTATTTGAGAACCCAAATTCTCTGCCACAGTACCCTTTAAGGGAGATTCCAGCCCCAGATAGGTGGTTTCTCAGTACCTGACAACTTAAGCCTGAAAATGGGGAAATTTGAGGATATCTGGAATTGGAAAGCAGGGAAAAGAATACCTTCCAGGTACACAGTAACATAACCTGAAGAATAATGGGGACTGGGAGCCAATGGACTGGACATGGTTATAAGAGGAGATGAGAAGCATCATAACAGGGTGCTGGTCACTGTGTGCTTGTGCAAAGCTTCAAGGAGACGCATATTAACTTCTGAAGAGCTGCATGTGGCTCTGGAGCCGCAGGTTGGCCACCCCTGGCCTAAAGGGTTATGCAATACATTTGCACATCTCAAAGGGAGAAGCCCAGAAGTGGTTGTAAGAGAGAGAGAGAGAGAGAGATAAAGAGAGAGTTTGGAGGCCCCAGAACCACAGGCCCAGAGTGACTGGGGACTCAGAACAAGCTGGATTCTTGTGTGGAGCTGAACACACCCAGGGAGCCAATAGACACGAGAAGTCCTGCCAAATGGTGAGACTTGCCTTTGGCCTCACATTCCTCCCTGCCTCTACTTTGAGCAGAGGCAGGACACCTCCCAAATCACATTTTTTCCAGCAAGGCATGGCAGGAGAATCAAGACCAGGGAGGTTTCTAAGTTGACTGGGGGATGACAGGACTGGCCATGATGAGACAGAGCCCCTCCACTCATGTAGGGTAAACAGGAATATTCAATTTACCTTATCTCTACTACTCAGTTTTGATATCTAATACCACTCACCCACGTTTCTGTATCCCCCCCCGATTTTGCCTTCCTTTACTGCTTCCTGAAGCCTCTTCCCTCTTCTTCTCTCTGCTTCTTTACCATAAATCTCTCCCTTTGTTGCACTGTCTCAACTTGCACATCCCAGCACTTCTTCCACACTCCTTCACATTACCTTCATTGTTCTAATAATTCAAATTTCCACCCAGGTCTGGTGTTGCTAGGCTACTTGCAAACATTCTTGACCTAGACTTCCTGCACATATGCATTACAAATTCCTTGGTTTTGGTAGGTATCATTTATGAACTCAAAACTGTAAGGCAGGGGCAGGCCAAATACAGTCTGCTGGCTATATCCAACCCACCTGGAAATTTCATTCATCTCACAGGCGGGTGCCCACCAATTAACTGTATTGGCTCAGCTGCCCCAGCTGTGCTCTGCATGGGGCTGAGCCCTGCCCACTCCTGCCCGGGCAGTGTGCTGTGCTCCCACCCCCAGCATCAGCCCCAGCCAGCATGAACAGCTTCTGGGTGTGGCTGCTGCTGCTGCAGTCCCCCCCTCCCCCAGGGAACTGCTTGACTCTCTCAACCTCCAGTAGCTCCTCCTCCTGTCATCACTGCAGTGCTGCAGGAGTGCAGGGACAGCCTGGTTCCATTGCATGGGGCTCCCCATGGCTCATGTGCAGCTTCTGGGACTCATGTGCTGCCAGTGGGAGCCCTGCACAATGGAGTTGGTGGCCTACCCACTCCCTGCCACCGCATGCATCTCCTAGGACTCCACTGGAAGTGCAGGGGAGCCCTGTGTGATGGAGCCAGGGGGGCTTGGGCCCACTCTATGCTGCCCTGGCCAAGTCCTGGGAGCTACAGATGGCAGCAGGGAGCAGGGTCAGGTGATTCGCTTCATTGTATGGGGCTCCCTTCTGGTGGTGTGCGGCTCTGACCAAGTCCCAGGAGCTGCATGTGAGCCACAGGAAGCCCCATTCCTTGCCCCCCATTACTTTCTAGGACATTTACCTCTCAAGATTTGGCTAGAGCCATGTGCTGCCAGGGGGCTCCACCTGTGTTGGCTATGAGTTTCCTGAGGGCCTGCCATCTGCTGCTGCTGCTGCCACTGGCAGGGGGAGCTGTGCACCAGAAGGGAGGTGTGGGGGAGGGCATGTGGGAGACCACACCCCCCACACCTCCCCTACACACACCTATACCCTCCCTTGCACTCTCCTCCCACACCCACACCTTCCCTCATGTCCCCACACTCACCAAACACTCCCCCAAACCCCCCCACACACATACCCACCCCCTCCCCCGCACCCACACCCTTCATAAACCCCACCCTCCACACCCTCCTGCACACCTCCCACATCCCTCAAAAACCCTGCACACAGCCACAAACACAGACACTCTCCTTACATCCCCACACACACCTAACCCCCCCCACAAACCCCACACACATACCCACATCTTCCTCCACACCCTTCCCCACATCTTCCCACATACCTAACACCCACCCACATACCTAACTTTCCCCCACAAACCCCCACCCCTCACAAACCCCATATTCCCCACCGCACACAATGCCCCACACCCTCCCCAAAACCCCACACCCAACACCCAACAAACTCCACACTCACACACACCTATATCCTCCCCACCTCCCAAGCCCCCGCAAAACCCCCACATCCACCCAGACACACCAACACCCCTCTGCACACCCTCCACACCCACATCTCCCACAAACCCCATATCCACCCACACCCCACCACACACACCCCCCAATCACACTCCACACATCCCTTCACACACAATATACAGGAGTAAGACTTTATGTTGCACTATTATGCAATTATTTCATTATACACTATGCATCAATCAGGACAAAAATATTTTTGAATTAAAATAAAAATATGTTATAGTAGATGTTTGATTTTTTGTATTTGATTTGTTTTTTTTTCTGGTTCCAAGATGGCAGCACCCTGCCCCCCCATACATACCTCTGGGGACAAGGGAGGCACTTCTGGTGGCAACGGTCAGGGGTTAGGGGTAGGACTTCTGGTCCCAACAGGGTAACCAAGGGATGGGGCACCTGTCAAGGGGCAGGGCTACCTTTTTTCAAGGGATACTGATGTATTTTGGAGATGCTGCAGGTACCAAGCACTGTTGATGCTAACAGTGGCAGAGCTATATTGCTTTTACCATATGGAGAGCATGACACTGAAAAGAAAGAATTAAATGGATGTTTTTCTCACCATAACCAATTTGAGGAGATCAGCTGCATTAACCTTCTCTTCCTTGCTTCTTGGTTCTTTAATGCTCATTTCTTGCATCTCATCTTCCTGCTTCAGGATGTTTTCTATGTACTTCTAATAGAGCAGTGGATAAAGATGTGTGAGATACAATTATCTGTTTCAAAGATGTGTACATAAAGGATACTTCCCAATATGTACTGTGTATACAGCCTCTGCAAATTTATACTGGTAACGTCTACACAAGATGCTTTCTTGTGCAGTAGACTAATCTACTGCACAGTAAAGTGTCATATATAAATGTGAGCTGAGCTACTGCACAGTAAAATAGGCTAATGTGCAGTAAATCTACTACCTGCATTTACAGGTAGTAGATTTACTGTACATTAGCGAGTGCACAGTAGTTCATGTGTAGACACTGGGAGAGTCTACAAATGTAGTGGACTACTTAAGCAAGTACTAAATGACTGTGCAGAAACTGGTGTTACTGTGCAGTTCCATCACTGCATGGTTATTTTTAGCTGTGATTCATTGCTACTGTGCAGTAGTGTTGCCATTATGGATCATGTCCAGCAATGCAACGTTGCTGTAGCAACACAGCATCTTGTGCCCACTGACTGAGAGTAAATTTGCTCCCAGTCAGCCAGACCAGCAGGGAGCCAGCCTCTTGCCAGAGGCAGAACAACATGGCTGGGAGTCCCTCCAGCCATGGCGCAGGGATGGCTTTTTAGCAGTCCTTGGCTGGCCTATAACTCCTGGTTTTATTCCTGGGGCCTGGGCCAACTGATGCCTGCCGTGGCCACTGTGTGCTGGTGTGGTGGGCATGTGCTAGTTGCAGCAGCACTGCCGAGCCCCAACCTAACCCCCAGGCCTCTACCGGCTGCTTTCTGGGCATCATTCTCCTGCGTTGAGGCCATGTGCTTGTTTCAGAAGCCCCTCAGGCCATCAAACATGAGTGGGAGAGAGACCAGGAGGACTGTGCCTTTTGGGGCAGGCTCCTCACCCTCAGAGAGAAGCACATTGACCTCCTCAAGAAGATGTCGGAGGCATAGGAGAAGGAGGCCACTGTGGTAGCCTGGGCAGTGGAAGCCAGAGGAGGACTGCCAGGTGGTGGACACCATCCTGGCCCTGACAATCACCTTTGTGCTGGTTGTCACTCAGCCCTTGTCTCTGGCCCTGCCTGACACCTGGAAGCCACCGGCCAGAGCCACTGGTCCTGATCCTGGCCCTGGCTCCAGCACTGCCTGGCAGCCACCTACAGCCCCATGCCAAGCCCCACAGTGGGCCTGGAAAGAGGTCCAGTGGCACCTGCAGAAGCCAGGGCCCCCATGCCCCTGATCCCGAGCCGGGTCCCCCAGCAGCCAGGCCACCCACCTGGATTGCTGCGCACCACTCACCTGCCTGCCATGTAGCTCCTGATGGCCTCTGCTAACTTTGGCCCCATGGAGAAGGAGAGGGAGCAGGCTGGACAGCATCTGCCCTCCCCCTGGCTAAGCCTCTGGGCCACTGGCATCACTGTGGTGTCTACACCCACAGTGGTGCTACGAGAAGCCTGGGTGCCAGGCACCTCTCCCCAGGTTCCATGCCATAGGTGCCTCCAGCCCACTGTTCCCCCCCAACACAGCACCAACCACATTCTTGTAAATAGTTTTATGGGAAATAGGCTGTTTTATTGGTAATGGGTGTTGGGGTTTGGGGTGGGGGCTGCTGTTGGGGAGGGAGTGTGTTGTTGTGGAGTGTCACAGGGCACTAGGGTGCCCTGCTCCTTTAAAGAGCTGAAACTGCTAGGGGAAGAGCACTAGCAGTGAGTTGGAAGCCCCAGCTTCTGGTTATCAGGGAAGCCAGAATGAACTAGTGACCCACACCTGTCAGTGGTCAGCTGACCGGAAAGGGCAGGGGCTGGCTCATATATAAACCCCAGGGCTGAGGCCAGCAGACAAGGGGAAGGAGCTCTCCTGGAGCAAGCAAAGGGGGAGAGGTCTGACTGTAGGTACAGCTTCTGATACTGTTGAGGGACGGAGTACCTTGGTGTGGCTTGAACAATGTTATAGCCAGGCAGCTTGAATTTATGTTACAGCCCAGGGGCTTGTGTTTTGTTTGCTGTTGTATAAGATTGGTGGTTTGGGTGAGGCTATTAGGGGAAGGAGGAGGCCTCAGAGGGGGCCCACGGCAGCGTGGGGACCCTGGCGTCAGAGAGGGCGCAGCATTTGGGAGGCACAGACCCTGGTGCCAGAGAGGGTGCCGCACTTTGCAGGGCTGTGGAGATCCCAGGCGCCAGAGAGGCGCAGAGCAGAACAGGGCTGCAGAGAGCCCAGGGAGGACAAGGGGGCCAAGTTACAACAAGGCACAGACCGGACAACATCTGTACCATCTGCGAGGCTTGGGGCGTGGTAAAGGGGTGGTTGGAACCACGCATAGCCCATAAGTCTAGGGTGCCCCAAAACACCCATTGTGACATCTATTTTGAAGTGGGATACACCAGAGGTCCAGAAACCAACAGGGGTCCAGAGAATCAATCGTGACTGTGTCCAAGAGGGCTTAAAGGCAGCCTCCCTATTAATCATTCTATCAAAGATGTGGTGGGAGAGAATAGTGTGTGCCCATCAGGCCAACTTGGCACGGTAGAGGGGTCTTGGGGAGATCATGGCCATCCTTCAGGACCCCATCCTGTGACAGGGAGGGAGGGCAGGAGGGAGAGTATTGTGGTGGATAGAAATAAAGTTTGATGATTGGAAACTGTCCAGTCTGTTTGTGGTCTTGGGGGTGCACTGTGGAATTGGGATTGCAGTCCACATGTGGACTCGTCCCCCCCAACCCTGCAATAGGGCTGCTCAGGTGCCCTGTTGAGTGGGTGGGGGAGAAGGTGGTCTGTGAGCACCTTGTGGACATGGTGCCCTGTTCACTGCTGCCAGGGGGAGGGGGAGGATGGGGAGCATCCATGGTGCACTTGCCATAGGCTCCTGTGACAGCATCCTCTGCCAAACTGCTGAGGCTGTCTCTCTGGAGACCCCTGCAAGGCTGAGCCTGTCCCCTGGATACCCCTGCCAGGTTGAGGCTGACCCCCCTAGAGATCCCTTGCACCTAAGCAGCTGTATCCAGAGCCTGCAGCTCCCCCTGGCTGCTGCAGGAGGTCGGATCAGGGCAGGAGCAGGCCTGGATCTGCTTAATCCTATAAGGAGCAAATCTGGTCCCAACAGGGTGGTAGATGCCTTCCTAGGGCTAGATTACTGCGCAGTGAGTCTAAATTGCATTAGTTGCACGTGTAGATGCATTCACTGTCAGCCTCAGGAAAGTAGGATGAAGCTCTCTTTGTCAAAAGAGCTGTTATGCTCACAAGCTCAGGTGGATGGAAAAGCAGGGACCATACTCGGGGTATGTTTACCTCCCCAACCAGCTAGACTGCTCCATGCAACAGTTATACAACTAGGAATGCTCTGCAGCTATTTTAGTTCAATTCCATGACTCTTAAACACACCACAGAAGTCTGGCAAGAGAAGAGGGTACCTTTTCTAGTCTTTGCTTTAATTTTGATATAGAATAATTTCTTACTCACTTTAATAGAGAAGTGCCCCCTAACAAAATGAGTTTCTCTCTACCTTCTCATGACTAAAGAGAGAAATCTAAAGAACTGTTCTCTAAAGAGATACATTTTGCTTGGAGTAACAACTTATGATCATGTTCTTTGCTGAATTTAACACATGCAGTTCTGGAGGAGAAGATTCTCAAAGAGTTGGTTGCTATTAGTATTCTGTCTTCACTTTTTCATACTGATCATTAAGAAACTTGTTCCTGAAACACCCAGGGAAATGGTATATTAATTTATAAGCAACTGCCATGGAATGAGCTACCTTGTGATTAACCGTATCTTTGCAAACATCTCCTCTGTGCCAATAATTGCACTGCTTCTTTCTAAATCAAGGTTGGCAAAATATGGCCCACAGGCTGGATCTGACCTGCTGAGGGATTTTGTGTGGCCCATGGTCGGTCCCTCAGTCCCACCACTGGGGTGGGTGGGGCCAGGGAGACCTTGGGATCATGGAGTGGTGACAGCACAGGTCTGGGGCAGAGCCATGATCTGCTGTCCACACAGCCCTGTGATGGGTGCAAGTTCCATGGGCGGGGCATTTGGGGGGTGGATCACAGCTCAGCCCCGGCCTCAGCCTCAGCCCTGGCCCCAGTCCCAACCACATGCTATCACTTACCCAAGATCCTGTCCCCAGCCCCGGACAGAGCTACCTGCCTGGTTGTGGCCCCATCGCATCTGCCTAGTGGACTGTCCTGTCCCTGCAGCTCCCAGCTGGTCTTCATAGAGACCCCAGGATCTCCATGTCTGGGGCTGAGCCCTGGTTCTGTGGGCAAGGATGTGCAATGAGCAGATTGACAGCATGGGGCCAGGGCAGAGCCACACTGTCCCAGGGTCCTTGGGGCTCCATGGAGACTGACTGGGAGGCGAACAGGCAGCCAGGCAGATGTTTCATAGGTTCGTAATTGTTAGGGACTGGAAGGGACCTTACAGATCATTGGGTCCAGACCCCCTGCACTTGGGCAGGAAAGACTGCTGGGATCAGATTACCCCAGAAAGATGGGCATCAAGATGCTTTTTGAAGATCGCCAGGGTGGGTGACTGAACCACCTCTGGGGGGAGCTTGTTCCAAACCCTTGGCACTCAACTTGTAAAGAAGTTTTTCCTTATGTCTAGCCTGAAGCGATCTTCAATCAGTTTGTGCCCATTATTTTTTGCCCTCCCCTGGGGGGCCTTGGTGAATAGATGCTCCACCAGGGAGGCCACATTTTCCCAACTTTACTATGAGGACTTCATGGGAGACCAGGTCAAAAGCCTTTTTGTAGTCCAAGTATATGACATCAACCTCATTTCCTCCATCCAGGTGGAGAGTTACCTGATCATAGAAGGAAATGAGGTTGGTCTGGCATGACCTGCCCATAACAAAGCCATGTTGGCTATCCTTTAGAATACTGCCTTCTGTTATCCTGTCTGTAATGGATTATTTGATAATTTTCTCCAGGATTTTACTAGGGATTGAGGTCAAATTGATTAGTCTGTAATTTCCTGGATCCTCTTTTCTCTCTTTCTTAAAGATGGGCACCACATTGGCCTT